GGATTGGAACTTTCAGGCCCGTTTAGCTGATATGGAGCGAGCTATGAACAACATGGAGAAGATGGCTCAGGCACAAGTAAGATAACTTGCGAATAATCTTTGGTCATAAATACTGACGATCGTTTTCAACTCGGTTTCAGATCGATGATTTGGAAACGAAATTATCGCAGTCTACGAACGAGTGTAAAGAGCTACGAAAGGAAGTGCAGGAAGCGACGGCAACGAAGCAAGCGAATGAGAAGAAACATTCTCAGACGGTTAACAAGCTTGCAAAGGTACATTCAGTGGTTTCTAGAAGTATTATTTTGGTAATCATAGTCGAGAACGAAAATGTTATCTCAGCCTTCCACACCCATGATTCACGAATCGGCAAAAGTAATTTATGTAGGTTATTACCCATGAGAAAATGTCAGTAGTTGACCTATTAAGTCCCTGTTAATGGAAGTATGGTATATAGTTTGCAGACTCACTAACAAAGACGTTTTTGTACCGCAGTTGCTAGCTTTTGCGATGCCTTTTCTTGCATTTACAAGCCTCATCCCATCTGCTATGAGCTTTGCTCTTGAAACTATTCCCATTCTCATGAAAACCTGAGACAAGAGATCGAACCAGCTCCCGCAGCTTCGAGTCGACCAGTCGCTCGTACAGCTTCATGGTATGCGCAGTCAACTTGATCCCGCGGTAGTTGGAGCAGTCCATCGCGTCACCCTTCTGCTTGAAGATGGGGACGATAGTACTTGTTCTCCAGGCATCTGGCATCCTTCCTTCCGCAGTTACCTTGTTTAGGAAGTGTGAGCCCCTTATGCCGTACTCTCCGAGCGCCTTCCATGCCTCGATTGGCACCCCATCTGGGCCAACCGCCTTCCCAACCTTCATCCTCCCAAGTGCACACCTAACCTCATCCTCTGTCCAGAGTGCGATGGGACCAGCTGTGGCCTCTGCTTGTGAGTTGTTCTGTGGGGGAACTCCTCGTTCAGAAGTGCTCTGTAGTACTCTTCCCACCTCCTCTGACTTCGGCTGGCTTCCTCAGGATGGCGCCGTTGCTGCTCTTTACACTCTTCACCACCCTGAATCTTGAGTAGCCGATGCCGGGCTTTAGCCAGCCTGAAGACGAACTTCTCTGCGTTCTGCTTTCCAACTTCTCGTACAAGGCGTCCATCTCAGTGTTCTTTGCCTTGGCGACGGCGGCCTTAGCAAACGTTTTGCAGCTCTTGTAGACAGCGAGATCTTCGGGGCTCCTTGCCTTCTTCAGAGCTTGTTTGCTTCCTTCTTCTCTTAACGACTCGCTGGACTTCTCTGTCTAGCAAAAGCTGCTTGTCACCCCTGATTCCACTTTCTGTCTTGTCCAGTACATGCTTGGCGTGTCCTAGGATGATCTCAGCCGCATTGCACCATGCCCGCTGTACTGGCTCCTCAGAATCTCGAGGATCAAATTCCAATCCATCCTTCGTTTGAGGTCGTGCGTGTCTTTTGCTTTGTGCAAACTTCGGCAACATTCGACCAGCAGTTCTCGTCTCGGTTGCTTATCCCTCGTTTCTGGGAACTATTATTAATAGTTTCCTGGGCTAGTCGCGACGTCCTAGTTCTTCGCCAAGGGAGTACCTTGATATCCTTCACAGTTTTCTGAGGTATGATCTTCTTACCAGCACATGGTCAATTTTCCGTTTGTCTCCCTCCACTGCTGTAGGTTACCTTTTCTGAGACTTCCTTTTCGCGAAGAACGTGCTGCAGGAACATGCCAAGTCGTGGGCCGTAGCGCACGCAGGACCCTCTTTTTCGCAGCGTTCTAGTATTATTCCCCGAACGCCGTGCATTGTCCGTTCCAGACCTTCTTCTGTCACTTGCCGACTGACCCTCGTCAGTGCACGCTGCTGGTCACCGTGATACCTTTTCCGAATCCGACTTCCTGGCTTCGTCCAGGCTCAAGTAACTCGTCTTTTTGCTCCTCGTGATTCGTGTGCGTGCGTACAAGTACGAGTATCGTCAGTACTTTCTTTTGTGTCATCCTCACACAGCACATACGCGGTCGCTACATTACTTTTCAGCGGACATCAATTGAGCGGTTTTCTACCTGTGCCAGCAATTGCTAGTGTTTCTTGTCGCCTTGTAAGTTGAACTCTTCACACCCTCCATAATTGCCGAGCCTTTGCTCCTTTCCGTCGCGGCTCATAAAGGCACACTACTTGGATATTCTTTCGCGTCACGTTCCTGCTCTGACCACACCGCGGTCCTGCGCGCCACTTCCGAATGACCTCCTAGGTTTATCTGATACATTTTGCGACTTAAGACGTGGTTGTTTATGTGTCTCTGCTTCATTTCGCAGCTCTTAGAAGTGTTGTGCCTAGTTTCGTGACAAAAACACAAGCCAGACATAGCGCTTTCTATACGGTAACTGCAGTACACTACTTCAATCCTATTACGAAGCGAAATTTGGCATCGATAATTGGCGCAGTGGTAGAGACCTGTAGCTAGTGCGAATTTTGATCATGACTCGGTTTTTGGAACTTTTTTGGTGAGGTGTCGCTCGTTTCGTTTGTTGCAACCCTTTTTCCACTTACATTTTCAGTTTTATAGAGTTAGTTTGGCAAACTCTCGAGTGAATAGTAATTGATTACACCGAAGTGATTATGAAAGTAACCAGTGACAAGAGATTGCTTCTATTTGAAGTCGCCGCTTACCGGGTGGCTGGAATTTCTTTGAGAGGTTACGTTTCTTATACATGCTCGAGACACAAAGAATTGAGAGGACCCGGTTTCAGGTGACGTCAGAGCTGAAGGCAGAGCAGGAAATGAACGAAATGCTTCGAGCGGATCAGCAGCTTTGGAAGTCAAAAGTCTTGGAGTTGGAGAACAAATGTGTTACGAGTGAGCAGCAATTTTCAAAGGTGACTGAGTTCAGCTGAAATCCCGACAGTAATTGCTGGACAGTAATTGCTATTTGTTTTCGAAAACTGAGTTGGATATCTCTCGAAATTTGTGAATGGAGATGGATTTTGCTACAAAATTGCCCGTCTTGGTATTTTGACCGAATACGATGTTATCACATCTGTTTGGAGCGAAATTGCCTGGCGAATTCGATGGTTTGAGGTGATTTGGCGCTGCGCCACACACGCCGGTAAATAGGTAGTGCCACTTCCACAGTATGAACTGTTCACAACTCGGAATAGTCGGAGCTATGCTGTCGTTAGGGAAACTGGTGTAATCTTTTGTACGAGAAATGAGTGTAAAAGAATGTATGAAGTGCGCACGTGTACCGTTCCAGTTACCGGCTATTCAACGGAAAAGGTCGTAAATATAAGTGATTGAATTGTTCAAATAATCGGAAGAAATCAATCAAACTGCCAGCACCGACTGCTTTTTCTTATGTATATCCGTGCACATGTATGCATTGAAATGCCTCTATTAACCTAAATGGAAATCGCACGCGCACTGAGGGGCTGAACGGTAAATGCTTCATCTTTGACCTAATCCCACTTCAAAAATGCTACCCGTAAGGCGCCCTCCTGGGAGTGCTTTTTGCTTCTTTTAATTTCCCCCTTTACACGATAGTACAGATGTTACTACTCTGTACAGTTTGCTCTCAACGTGCGTTTCCAGTACATCACCAGACACATTTTCGTAGGACAAACTTCCGATTTGTGGCATATTGAATTAACTTGATAATAAGCCTGCACTTTTTGTTTGCCCACTTTTCCACGGCTATCTGAACATGTACTAGTAGAGCTCAATGGTTCAGGTTGTTCCCATGACTTTAGGTTGTGGTCATGCTCAGGGTGTCTTGGGAAGAGAGACTCAACGCAGAGAACCGTGGTAATCAGGAAGAAAATTCGAGAAAAAAATTTGAAATTGCGTTTTTCAACGGCCTTCTGGAGGAAGTCCTTCATACACCCTTCCACGTTGTCGTTGAGAAACCTGCTATCACCAGCCATGCTCCAACCTGGTCCCCAAAATTTCTTCAAAACTGCCTCAGAGGGTAGTTTGCGGTGAGGGAGGGGGGTACGAGAGGTGGACATGTGCATCCCCTAAGATTTCACACACCCCCTTTTATTTCACCTTTTTCTGCGGTGAAGATTCTTGAGAAATTTCCCTTAATTCAAAGACTGCTTCCTCACTTCAAACACGACCCTTCACCATCCATTACCCTTCCAAAAACCCCAAATTTCATTCTCATTCGAGAATCACAATAACGATCTTGTTGTTGGAAATTTTCCCAATGGGGAGTTGGCTCTGGTCACACTTCAGAGGAGAAAGATTGGTGATGGTGAAATTGCGCGCATTCTGTCGGGGCATTTTTCGCGTGCCTTGAGAAGGACAGGGATATTTCTAGCTGAACACTGCACAAATATGCTCATAGTGGCGTCATGGTAAACTCCACACAGCTTTTTTTCTCGACCTTTTCTGGTATTTGGCAACCACCTAGATGGTGATTTCCGCTTTTGACTTGGCAAGAATGTTTTTGTGGGACGGACACAACTGCATTTTTGAGAAATGTTTCTAGTAGTTTCAGGTGAAACCGTATAGTAAGGCGTAAGGTTGAACTGTGGTCAATAATGTTTGTATAACAAAACCTGTTGATGGCTACGTCATCTTTGTCCCTCACTAGGTCAATTCACTTGGGTGTACTTTATACAGTAAGTGACTCAATATAGTGTTGTGTAAGTACCATTTAAGAGCTCTTTGACAGTAATCGAATTATGTTTGAGGAGTACATCTGAATGTTTTTTGATCACTTACTACTGCCGCATTGCACTTTTTCGATAACTTGCTCTTATTGAGCTTATTTCGGTGTTTTTGCTTCAAGGAACAAATTCGTAGGAGTTAGAGAAGAACTGCTGGAAATTGGGAAATTCTCCGAAATTTCTTGAGAGGGTCCCCACTTCTCTTGAAACTGTTCAAAGTATCAGTATAGGATTGTGTAGGTACTATAAAAGTAAGGTAATATTGTAGTTGAATTGGAAGGTAAGCACCCGAGTAGCTGCTCGTTAGCGTTTCTTTTTGAAGGTGTGCGCTGAATTAGACTTACTGCAGATTCGTGGTGCCTTATGAAATAGTCGCAGTGAGTGTTATTCGTACCTGGCATTTGTAAAGTAAACTTGTACAAATCTGTGTTATTTCGCTAGGGACGGGTCAGCAAGCCTGCTAACTGATGGTCTCCAAACTCCGCATCTATAGACGCATCCTCCAATTCTTGATCATGGAGACTGCGTCTGGGACCAGATTAGCGACGCAGTTTTTGAAAACCCACCCCGGCTGAGTTCTGTTGCACTTGCCCTGATCGTTATCTAGTTAACGGACACAAGCATATCAAAGGAGCTGACTTTTTTTATTTGTCGTAAACTTTAAACGCTACAACCTTTGCCCTCATTGTTATTCTATTCCGTAAGTTGTATGACATTAATCGCTTATTGTGTGGCGGGACTGTTGTGAGTAAGATTGCCCCAAGGGCATGGGCATTTAAAGGAAGGTGAGGGGATGTGAGCCACTTAACTGTGTGAAAGTTGCCTTAGGTTTAGTGTCTGGTGCCTGCCCTTGTGAAGAGACCCAGAAGAGCAAAAAATTAGATGTTCAAGACACTATTCGAAATGTCTGATGCAGTAGTTCCTTCACACAGTGTCATATTTATTTACTTTTTATTCCATAAATTTCAGAATTCCCATTAGGTTGAAAATCATGTTTTTCGCATTTTGCGATTGTCTAATAATTTAGAGCAATTTCATTGATGAAATCCAGACGGGGTTTCAAAAAATACTTTTTTTTTGCTTTTTATCTCCATATCTGACTGAGGAATTCAACTGTTAGCATTTTTGGCTCATTTTTTTTTTTCTAGAGAATCAACGAGCTTCAAGAGCAAGTTTCTGATCTGATGTTACACTTTGATGCACAAGCGAAGATACAAGCTCAACTGGATAGCTCGCAAGTTTCCAAAGAGGTCGAGTAAATATTCGGAGGCTTGCATTTGAGACCCTAAAAGTTATAGTTCTTCTTTTTAGGAAATTGAGTCCAGCCAAGTGGGAGTGTCGGCCACGCCGGAAAAGCGACAACGGCGTAAGAACAAGCGATGAATGCGGTGTACTTTTTGGTTTTGTATTTACGGGCTTCTTTTTTCGGATCTATCGTGTCGGTGAAAATTTGTCTCATTCCTACTCGTAAACTTGTCATTTGGCTGTGTAACAGTACCAGTCATTTGTTGCTTTGTACTTTGTTCCACTATCACACATTCTGTGAAAGCTTTGCATTCTCATAAAAATTAACCTACAGATTTCGAAATAAATAATCTAGTAGTGCTTAATGTCGATTAATCACTTTGGGATGTGTCATGCCATCCACTTCCATTTATTATTGAAGGTATTTCGAACAAACTGTGATTATGCTGGCTTTTGAATCATCTTGCTTCATTCAAGGGTGGCAGCGTAGTTGGATGGGGCCACGCGACGGCGCGGCGCTCTATTCGTCTGCTCCTCCAAGGCTTAGTCCCCGATGGCGCGTATTTCGAAACTGCCACGTGGGGCGAAATAGTAACTGCCCCTGGACTAAGCCTTGGAGGAGCAGACGAAAAAAGCGCCGCGCCGTCGCGTGGCCCCCTCCAATTACGCTAGCCCCATTCAAATGCCTCATACGCGAATATGAGCGCTCCTCAGTTTTATATGGCGGAAAGTCGTTATATGCTTTTTGAATTGAAGTATATTTTGACAGCGTCTGACCGTTGAAGGCACGGTTCATACTCCAGCCTTACTGAAGTAGTCGCTCCCGTGGATAAAGGTGTGTGGTCTGCACTGCATAGGTCGCACCACCTTCGTGCATCGATACGCATCACTAAGACATTGGGCGCAGACGACTTGGATCAAACCCTACCAAAACTATCGGGATCCACCCACCGTTTGATATTCTATCTGCGTCGCAACATATGGTATGCTCTCTCTGCTCGGACTTCTCTTACCCTCCCCGCGGCTCACATCTCTCATTTCCGTGCCTGCCTCTTATGGCTAGACTTCTCCACAGCGTAGAGCGTTTCCTGTATTTTCACCATTTTCTTTCCTTATTTCTCCACTTGCAGTTCATCTGCCGTCCCTATTTTCATATTTGAGTGTGACTACCACATCAGTTTAATTCTGATCCTTGCCTTCAATATGAGCAGTACTCCTGGAGTGCAGTTTTTTCTTCCCTTTTCTTGCTGCGCCATGTCATACCCTTCCTTTGGCTTCGCTAAGACATGAAGGCTGCCAGGCCAAATTGAAGGTATTGTGTGAGCGCCGTACCCCTTATTATCGAACGTTTCCGCTGCCAGAGTTGAAGGTAACGGGTAAGGTGTGAACCAACCCTTTAGTGAGGCTGGAGACTACAGTCGTGAAGCCTTATTAGTGAAGGTTGGATGATCTTCTTTGCAATAATCGGTACTGGTGAATTTGCTTACAATAGCCTGCTGCTAGCATCTTGCAATAATGAAGCTGAACCTCATAAAATGTGGCAAAACGTTTCCAACTCACACTGGTTGTGTCATAATTCCTGTCTCAATTTCGACACTTTTGTTTATCCAAGTTTTATCTCTTCTAGGAAACAACTGATCAATAACATAACCACCATCATCACTGATATGCGTGCATTTGCTAGTGAGCGTTTGGAAGCTTCCAGCCCAGAATGAAGGAAGCTGGGGTTGAAGAATTTGGAGAAGTCGTTTTTGGGGTGGTCGCAATCTTTAACTTTCTTCTCTGGCAGATGCTTATTCAGGCGCAGGGAGACGATAGTCGCGACAAGCGATACTAGCTATGTGGTGGGATGGGCTCAGGGGCAATTCGCGGAGGAAAATTCGGAAATACGACCCCCCCCCCCCTCCTCCCGCCGAAGGCCGAAGTCCATGAAACAACCCTCTTTAAAAGCCGAACTATGAAAAAGTTGTTTAATTCTCCACCAAAACTGCTCATAAAAAAGCCCTGCTACCCCATCGTCCACAAAAAAAAACTCAAAAGTATAAAAGTGAAAAAGTCAAAGAATGATCATTAATGACGAGTCCTGTCAAACGAGCAAACGAGAAACGGAGCAAAAAACGTCAAACTAGTCACTAGAAAACTATGACAACACCTCTTCTTTGTTTATTTCCTCCACAAGACTTACCAAATTCTAGTACTACACAGATTATGGTTCTCAATTTACACGTCCCCCTTTCGCTCAAAGGAAGCCTTGTAAAAGCCTTCGCCAGCTGTGTGTTGACTGGACTTTGGCGTTGACCGTGGAGCAGCTTATTTACTATTGAAATTTGAACAAATATTCAAATGATTATAACTTTCTTCAAAGTTAACGAATTTTCAATCTGAAAGCTGATTTGGGAGTTTTGTGAAGAGCTTTTTCTAATCAGTACTGAAATTACAGGAAGTTATAAGAAATAACAAATTTAGATCAAATAACGAGGAAAATTCGAGACGAGCACGAGTTTTTACACTTTCCGGAGCAAATAACTTGCTTCATTTCCGTCAAATTCAAAAAGTTGATACGTCATACAAAACTAGAAGATTTTCTCTATCAAACGGTCGCTAAAGCAGCTTCATACGTCCAGTACTCAAAAAATGGCCACGTTGAGGATTTTTGCAAAATTAACGAGGAAAATTCGTGATGAGTGCGAGTTTTTACGCTTTCCAAAGCCATAACTCCGTTCAAACTCATGCAATCTGGAAAGTTAATACGTCATCATAAACTAAAGAAGATTTGCTCTTTCTATAGGCTACTAAAACTGCTAAATACGTTCACTATTTAAAAAATGGCCACGTTGAGGATTTTTGCCCGAGTACCGCCGAAAGGTACTTTTTCGCTACATTAGCACTATCCCAACGACTATAGCTCCTTGCAGGAGCGATTACATACTGAAGTAGGAGCAGATTCAAAATCCTCGTGCTTTTCTCTCTGCAAAAAGTGTAAAATTGTTTAGCGGGTCTCAACTTTAAAGGTTACATGCTTGTGAATTTGACGCTGAAGGCTGCGTTTCTTGTTGAATAGTGTACTCCTCTCTGTAATTTAACATGAACTCTTTCAGAACCCTCTTGATTCTTCCTGAATTAAGATTCGTTATCAAGATAGCCGTAGCTGAAGCGCGCGCAACCAACTGGGCCCACTCTGGGATGCGCCGTGTGCTTCACATCTCGTTGGATTTGAGGACCTACTTGAAAGATAAAATATCCCTAGAAAACGTGCGAATTTCGGATCCTTTGACTTGTGTGGTGATGAAACACTAAAGTCACTAAGAATTGCTAAGCGGACACCTCTAAATCACGAAGATTTTGTGTGGACGGAATCAATTGTTATTGGAAATACTCTGGCCTGGTATCGATTCGATCCTTAATGTTTGTCCTCCGACGATGATCCTACTGTATCAATCGGGCCCGATCTCTCCCAGCGGGCCAATACGACCCCCCCCCCCCCTCTGTGACATGTTGAGGATTCCTCAACGCACGCTTGACCCTGATCGTGGCCCTGGCTATCTCCCCCACAACGTGGTGAGTTGGCATTGCAATGTGAGGTCTGGCGTACATTCGGAGAAAGGAGAATCTGAGACGTTTCTGACGATTCCCTCGCAACCCCAAAGCCAGCCAAGAGGGCTTCCGCGCTGACTTTAGCAATGCTTGTCTTCATACATTGAAGTGGTTCCCAAACCAGGCCACCTAGCGAATCCAACAAAACGAGAGCGATATTCTCAGAAAACGGAGTTCGGGCTTTGGTTGAGCTGGTGCTTCCTGGCTGCGAGGCAGCCATAAGACGTGCCGCATGTTGTTGTCGCAGTGGACTCATGACTCATTTCCACCGGTGACCGATTAGGGAAGGCTCTGCTTTTGCCGTCCCAGAATGGATTTTCCCCAGGTGATCAGGCGTGCTTCCCGCTCATGGTCGGCCGGACCATAAGGTTTCCATCAAAACTTCATTCTGCAGCAGTCCTTGCCATACTGATGGCGTGCTGGTGCATCGGCTGCGCTCAGGTATCTGCTACAATACCCTGTAGCAACGTACGGAGGCACTCCCAATTTAGGGTGCAAGGGGCGCTCATCAAAAATGACCGCAGGCCCAGTATGAGGTTGAAGTTCATAGCTCGTTTCGTCTTTGCCGTTGCGATTGGACCACTAGCTCAGTACCCTATCAGTAGCAGAGACTGGGTCAAACACAGCGCTGGTCTTCTCTGTTGTCCTCCTTGCTACAGGATCGTAAAGCATAATCATTCATTATAGTCACTGACCTATTTTTATTCCTAGTTGATTAACCCATTACGGGCTTGCGTTTCCGAAACCATGCTGTTAAGGCTCTTGAAGCATACTTCAACATACTAACGTATTTCGCAATGAAACGGTCTTAGACGGAAGAAATTTGAAATTGAATAGAAATGCGACAGGAATTATGAGACAACCCAATAGATTAATAACCTTCGGATAATTGAATAATATGAGGTCACGATTTCCGTCTGGTCCCCCTATTCAAATATTTGTGTGAGTTTCGGAAATTGTCTAGCATTTCGGGGTTTTCCATTGTAATTGAGGCAGAAGTGTGGCTATATCCAACAGCAAGCGAGAGACTATTTCACGACTAAGTGAGAGAATGTGCATTTGAGTATTTCTAGTCATTCAGACGTGAATAGGACTCATCTTTTCACTCTTTTTATTTGTACTTGGTTCAATCGAGAGCATTCATTACTGCACGAATGAACAAAGTATGGTCAGGCTCTGAACTTGACTGACAGTTACTGAATTTTGTGTAAAGTAAACCAAAGGGCTTAGGATGTTCAGAATGCGACTGATATTACAAGAGCGAGTTCAGCTCTCAGCAGACTTTTT